GTCGATTTAAACAACGTAAAAAAGAAAGAAGAAAACACCTTAAGCAACGTAAAAGGAAACCCAGCAAGAAACAATGATAAATATATGCAAATTTTGGTAAATTATACGGATAATTAGTTAAATCAACAAATTGTGTATTCATTATATTTATGTTAGTATATGAAATAGAGTTTGTCAAAGCATAAAAAGAGACGATAAACAAAGATGAGTGGTAACTAACAGTGGAATTTAGTTTGATGTGAGTTTCGTCTTATTTAAGACTTGTCAGTTGAATATATCTGAATCTTAGTGTGGATGTTCACTTTGAGACTTGAGCTCTGTACTATTCACTATAAACGCAATCATGTTACCCACCCAAGCTACTCTATCTTGATAGCCACCTGTTTTTGAACTTCATTTGGTATTATTTACTTGTATCTTCCGATTGTTCTTAAGAACTGTAAATAATCAGTCTTTTGTTGCTATATGTACATTCAAGATTTAGTAGCTAAGTGAACAACGTGATGACGTTTGAAGCGAACGGTGCTGAGTTCGAGTCCCGGAGTGAACATTAACCCTGGGATGCAAGTACATCCAGTTGACAAGTCTTAAATAGGACGAAACGTGCATCCTGGATTTCACTGGTAGCCGCTATCAATCTTTGCTTATAAAGGTTTAAACTTAAGGCAATATCGAAGTAATCCACACAGGATTCACATATACCGACAAAAAAACTTAAAAACAATGGGAAGATACAAGCAATAATACAAGGTGAATTATAAAGAAACCATGTTCTATAGTAGAGATGAATAGTTTATTTACATAAAAGAAAGTCAAAATGTGATAGATGGTTGGTTTTTAACTATATTTAAACAAACATAACTCCGATGAAAAGAATTCAGAATTCAAAATCCTCATTCGCAAATGCTGTTGACGAAAATATTGGTATTATTGCAGTGTGTGCTACTGATATCCACAGATATAAGTAGTATGTATCATCAATCGAAAGTAGAATGCCTGACAGCAGAAGGTTGAGAAGATCGAATAGAAGGGAACGGGAACAAAGGATGATTGGTATGAAAATGTAGGAACAGCAAATTTTAGGACAATTGATGGACATTTTGCAAGTAAACTATTGAACCTATGGTATTCACAGTTTATCATATAAATCTGTAATTTTGCGTTCGAATACATTCGATTGTTTCCACTTGTGTATTCTCCTTCACTACATTACTCATGTGAAATGTATATTATCGTGAAACTAACAAGATGTGTGGTAAAACAGTTACTCTTTCAAATCTTAAACTTTGTTGACCAGAAACAACGAACTATTTGTTCCTTGAGATCTACGTCTAGGTAATAGCACAGCATTCTTGATAATAAAGAGGTATAATGATTGTTGTGTTCCTTCTAAATCTGGAGGGCGAAAACATTAGCTAATGGGAGTAATGGGAGAAGTAATAGTATAGTGAAATCTAGAATAATCTCCCTCATTACCTTATAGCGATTCACGTGCAAATGAGTTTAGTCTCATCTAACGCAGTTAAGCCCTTTTGCTAACTCATTTAGCGGACAAAGTCACCCGCACTATAACAACTTATTGTACCCTTATTATTTAGTGCTTGTATGAAATACGTATGCTTGAATATTGATTACGGCCTACGCATTTATTCACTCTGCTAGTCTTACTACTAACTGCTTATTTGATTCGATTACTCATTCATTTCACATGGTATATATATGTCCATGTTATTCATATTCAACACACACGCACACTCGTCTTGCTCTGGCTCTCGCTCGCTCGCTCGCTTGCTCGCCTTTCGGCACAACTCTTCTATGCTTGTTTAACGCTCTGTACATTTGGACATATGTGTGTGGTCTCGTAATAAACGTAATCAACACTTCGTATTTGCCTTCTGATTAATATACCGTTGGGACGTTATATAGAACGGTTATCAAGACGAGCTGTATACGAAGTTTAAGGATTATATCGAATACAGATCACCACAAACTACAAATTCAAAGTAAACATGGAAAATTCCTTCGAATAATTGGCCGTATGGTGTCATTATTGTGAATTAAAATAATAACTAATGGGAGAACCTATTGTCATGTTAAAACAAGGCATTACTGTTTTAGTCCAATGAGTTATGTATCAACATCACTGATTTTCATATACCGAGTTATACTACTTAAACATCTTAAGTAGTTTGACTACATTGAATTAGTTTCAATGGTTGAGATCATGAGTCAATTGAAACTAGACGACCATGGAAAACCTGAAGGCACAGGATGGCCGTTTCGTCCTTTTGTGGGACTCCTCAGTGGCAGTCCGCACCCGCGACCCTGCACCATTTAATTCGAACTCAGGACCTATGAGTCTTAGGCGTGAGCGCTAAACCACTAGACCATAGAGGAGTCCTACAATAGGATGAAACGGACGTCCAGTGCTTCCAGTTTTTACATGGTGGTCTAGCTTCAATTGTTTCATGATCCTAACCATTGGAATTACTAAAGTATTCAGAAAAAACCTTCTGATACACTTGATTACTTGTGGATTTTATCTAGGGTCTTAAATAGTCTCATTATTGATCAATTGAAATAGTATAGTAAAGTCTAAAATAATCTCCCACATTACCTACAAATTCAAAGTAAACATCGAGAATTCCTTCGAATAATTAGCCGTATGGTGTCATTATTGTGTATTCAAATAATAACGAATGGGATAACCTATTGTCATGTTAATGAAAGAAAGCATTATATTGTAAGTCTAATATGTAACTTGTACATATCACAAGCTTTCATGGTATTTCCCTAACTAATTTTCATAAACCGAGTTATACTACTAAAACTTGTCATGTAGTTTGACTACATTGTAATGGTTTCAATGGTTGAGATAATGAGTCATTTACAAAAAGACCACCATAAAAAACCTAGAATCACTTGAAGGCCTTTGCGTCCTATTGTGGGACTACTCAGTGGCAGTGTGCATCCACGATCTCGCCTCTATGAATTCAAACACATGACCTACCAGTCTTACGCGCGAGCGCCTAACCACTAGACAACTAACGAGTCCCACAGTAGGACCGAACGGCTGTCCAGTGCCTCTAATTTTTTAAGGCTGTTCCAGCTTCAATTGACTCATGATCCTAACCATTGGAATTACTAAGGTATTCAGTAAAACCCTTCTGATACACTTGATTACTTGTGGATTTTATCTAGGGTTTTAAATAGTCTCATTATTGATGAATTAAAATTTAAACAAATACACATTTTTGTGTATGTGTCTGTGTGTTTAAGAGATAGAGGAATAACGAAATGAACAAACCACTAATACGTTACATAATCCAAATATATTAGTACCTGAATTTTTAAACAGTTATGTCGAAGGAGTACGCTCAGGACGAACAAATGGCACAAGAGACCAATTAATTGCGGTCAAATAGACAGTGAGAACTGACAAACCACTACCAATACTTTAAAAACCCTGATGGCTATATGGTTTAACTATCGAAGCGTATAAACCTTAAATGTTTAAAACGGTAGGGAATGGTTTTAAGTCTTAGTGTGAACACCAACATCGGGGTGTATACGTAACTTTGTGACAAGTTCCAAATACAATAAAACTTATGTCCTGGATTGCGTTCCTAAAGACAAAGCAAGCGGGTCATGTGAATAATGTGTAAAATGAGGATAAAATAAAACGATGAACGTAACCATGGAGATAATATTGATAACTATTCAAAGTAATGGGCTGAAAAAATGGTCATTTTTGTTACCGATAGTTCGTGAAGGATAAGATAGGGAAAGGAAATGAACAAAACACTTTTGTAAACGTACACGTTGTAGGAAAATTCCAAAGATCATTTTCTCAGCTTTATACGGTTATCGGTGATGCACACACAGTGATAGCTTTATTGGTATTCAATATACGGACTATATATTTAAGCTCCCATCGATTTTAATTCAATTTTTAATTGAATGGATCACCTCTTAGTTTTTATTTGGACTGGACTTTGATCAGATTTAGTTCGTATATGCAAATCCTATTCAAATTATCTAGGTATACTCATTGTCACAAGTTTTTATAGAATAGATATAGTGTGTTTAGCAGTGGAATCCAGGAAGTTGGTTTCATAATATTTGGAACTCATCAGCTAGATGTACTTGTATCCAAACAGTGAATGTCCAGTTCGAAAAACACTAGATGCCACTATTGAGACAATAAATTTTCTTTGTCTAATTCTAGTTGTAATCAAGGCGGTTGATGTTGTCTAGAGGACTAATCGAAACCATTCAGCACTTGGTTTGAATCCACGTGGTGTAGGTGTATACACTCTCTGTCTTCCCTTCAACTGTAAGATTAAAATTGCTTTATATCTTTTTTCTTGTACTATGTCCTTACATACAATCTTTCTTTTATATAATACCACCATTGAATTAACCACTTCTATGAATTCGGTGTTCATCTTGTTGTTTTAATGAGGTATGGCAACTTCGACCGATCCACATACATGCCTGGTTCTATGTTGTAACTGACTGAATCACTGACTGATACAGCTTGAGCCATGTCAGACTTACAAAACCAATCACTGAAAATACGTGATTTCTCAATGTCACGATACGTGTGTCTTTGTGGAATACAATCGTTGAACAAATCATTCCAGTCAATTTGGTTTGCTGTAATTTCAAGTACAATCGAAATGTGCTTCAATGTCTGTTTCCCTTTTAAACGAATATTTTCAATTCAGGAACTTAATCCAAGAGGCGAACAACTTTTTAACAGAACGTCTATTATAAATAACAAAGTGGTTTACAATAATCGTCAAACATATAAAAACATTCAATGGAATAGCGTCTATTCATAATGTCCAATCATTGTGTTATTCATTGTCTTATTGCACGGATGACAATCGATGAATGAATTTAAACAAAACTGTGAAACGACAATTAGGGCGATGTATTCATAAGACCATAAGAAAAGAATGTACATAACATGCGACCGTTCTTCTTCACTGGATCTATCCAAATAATATGCTGCGTCTACAATCACCTGTAATAATCAAAACATAGATGATTAATTCATTAGTATCAGAAGGGATTTTTGTGAATATTATAGTAGTATTATAATAGTTCACACGCGAGATCGATAGGTTTTGTGTTCGAATCTCACGAGGTGAAATCGTCGATGCGCACTGTCACTGAGGAGTCCCAAAATAGGACAGAACGGCCTTCCAGTGCTCTCACGTTTTCCATGGTGGTCTAGCTTCAATTGATTACTTCATTATTGATGTGTTCATATCAACAAATGTATCGGTGAAATAATAGGCATTTACAGATATAGGGTTGACAACTTTGCAATTTCTAAACATTCATACGTAACAAATGAACAGTAAGTGTCTTGTATTTTGATCTGTCAATTAATGAGCCATTCAATTAAAGGAATGAGTTAATTGATAAATACTTCACCAGTCAATGTCTTGCTTTCAGCGATCCTTCAAAGTGCTTCATGATGAATTCTTGTTGGATGCTCTGGATAGAAAACACTAATGCTTCAAAGTTCTAAGCTCTACAAAACCACATCTTTGAATGCATAATAATCAATGGACGGTTGTTTGTATTTACATTTTATTATTTATTCAGAACTTACAATCAACATTGCACAGCACCAACAAATCCAGGCTACACCTAGTACAATATACTGGAATAAAGGAAACAAAACAATTCACTTCAATTCATCATGTATCTATATGATAATCAGTTGAGAAACAGTGTTACTCTACTAATTAACTCTACCGATTTTAAACTAACATGTAGCTGGCTGACTGACTGACTGACTTCATGTAAGAGTTCAGCCAGTCAGTTTTCCTGAATTTCGACATCATTTATCCATCCTGTCGCATGCTTGACAGTTGTCTAAACAACTAATTAGTTTCTTCAACGACTGTATCATGAAACATTCAAGTTAGTGATTCTAAGAATGTGAAATCATTGATTGAATATGTATTGTTCTGGTTTTGCTGTAATTGCCATTGATACACAATCAAAATATTGAACACTGAGAATCAATTTATCAAATGATAACATTATTTCGTGATGCTTTGTATTAACAACATACAGTGTAAACTCCACATCAGATTGCAGACGTTTACCAGTTTTAATTCATGTGTAAAGGAAACTGGTTTCGTTTTGCAATTTATACTTGATGAGAACAATCTGCCTGGAGCCCTCATGCGGCTACTGACAGTCCAAAACCCATATAAAGAAGGAGGGTTGAGTATGGGTTAGCGATCCAATCCCGTAGAACACTAACTCGCTAAAAAGCGCTAACCAAAAAATAATTTAAACCATTTAAACTCTGCTCTAGAAGTTAGTAGGTCTTCATTTAGAACAGTTATGACGCCTCATGGTGAAAGCCGAGTTTACTCGGAAGTCGCGAGGCTGATGTTCCTTTGTGACAATTAAAGCAACCATTAACTTAGGTACATGGAATGCTCGTACAATGTGGGAGACCGGAAGAGTCATCGACATACAACCTGGAGGTGCTTGAAATCATTGAAACACATTTGGACGCAGGTTGAAAAACAACAATTAGCTCCAGGGGAGCTTCTATTATACTCTGGTCATGAAGAAGAAAATGCTCGACATACACAAGGAGTTGCACAGATGCTATACAAACGAGTACAAAAAGCACTTATAACACGGCAATCTCATGATCGGCGTATTTTTTAAAGGAAACCTGTAGCTATTCAAGTAAACCATTAGCAAATCAATAATCATCACTAATTACTACCAGTTTGTGCAAATCTATGATTAGACAAACTTACGTTGGGAAGTGCCGCCCCGACAATCAAGAGAATGATTCCAATTCCTTCAAACACACACCATATCGAGAACAAGACTATCTTCAATTTTCTTTCTGGAACTCGTAGCTTTACACCCAATGAAAACGCTAAGCCGGTCAACGTGGTATCCACAGTTACAGAAATAATTATTTCATACCATTTTGTAGGTGAATTTAGTAATCCAACACCAATAATCATAATTATCAACTGAATAGGGAAGAAGTAGCATCATCAAATTAATTACCATTAGTTTTAAAGTTGAATCGTTCAACTATCGGACAAATAATGAAAGAACAATCTTCATAGTTCTGCATTTGATTGAAATGCTTAACAATGAGTAGTTATGGATACAAGCACATAGCAAGGAATCTCTATCCATGTCTATCATAATGATAAACTTGAAATATCTTCAAAGCTAATTCGCTCATCCATTACACATGACCATTTTATATAAGGTTTCTCACGGAAAATGTGTGGAATATACCAATTTGGGTCAACCAAGAACTACTGCAGCTAGTAATGTGTCTGCGACTTGAAGAACTAAGTGATCACTTGTGTATTATATAACATAAGTTCAGTGATAGACAAAGTGTGTGGATGATTAGACCAATGAAAATGATACAAATTCAATTTGTTTAGTTGTTTTTCTGTGTTCACAACTCATTCCACATCTCGCAAATGGTTATAACAACATACGTAGATGAGAGTAGAATGTACCGGTATTATGTGTAACCATGTCTACTTATTTCTCAATTGTTCATAACATGGACGGATAGATGCCTTCTAATGTTATATTATTTTCGCCAGTTATCAGTCAAGTCATAGCTCATGATCCGACCGGATCATCAACATACGTCAACATTTTTATGAAATCAGTGAAACTATAGAAACTGGGTCTCTAGACATGATGTCATCTTAAAATAGACTACAACGATCAAACTCATCTATTCAAGTCAACCTTCAAAGATCGTTTGATCCTGATAACCGTTATCAAACGAACATGACAACATGGTTTTATTAATCAACAAACAACACTAAACTAAATAAGATCGATAATTGGATGAAACTATCATGAATGTACTATTAAAACCATATTCAACTGACCGTTATAACCATGAAGATACTGTTCCTTATGGATGTAGAATGTAGTTTCTTAATCAATATGATTAATAATCCAATAAGCAAACCTATAAATCTGAAATATAAAGAAAAAAAATGTGTGCGACATACTAAACTCACAGATACAACAGATCATAGTAATATGCATCAAATGTTCTACACAATATATGTGCATAAAATGGTTGAACAAGTTCCTCACCTACTACTCAGTTCAACATTTTCGAAAGTTTTTAAAACTTGTCAAAATAACCGATAAGTGGAATACTTAAGGAATGATCTCTTGAATATTTCATGTCATCACCCAAATGCCCTGGTACGGCCAATGGTGGAGACAGTTAGCTCTCCCTCACGAAATACTCTCACATGGACACGCATATACACCAACTACCATGGAAGATTTAATCACTGTCTTCTTGTGGTGAGGGGGTGTTGTTAACGAAATTGAGTGGATAAAATGCGAATGTCCGGCGCTTTGACCGGGTTAGTGGATATGCGGAATGCATTTAGGCAAGTTGGCAAACCATGACTCCAAATCAGTGATGTACATGGGCTCCGAAATCATTTATTGTGATGTGATGTAACACAAAGTGACGATGATTTCCACCGGGAAAGAAATAAACTTTATTTCTCTTCCTCAGTCATAATATTCTTGTCAAACATGGATCAAATTTCTCATCAAAGTGTATTAATCAGTTCATTGGATGATATGTAATAGTAATACATGGAAAATTGTCGTCAGGATTTTCGGATAATACGTATATTTAAAACATGTATTACTTACGTTAAAATGAGACCACTGAGAACAATTGGATGTTCAAGCCTTTGGAAGCTGAATCTGTCAAATGGAATGATAAATGTCTTACATGCAATGAGATTTATTTTGATTGGTTACCGCCAACACATCATCAAATGCGAATGTTGACATCTTTTAAGTAACTTCAATGAAGATTTGTGAACAATTCACCTTCCACAATCACTAATTCCAATTTCAACTGAAATAAGTAAGGATTCACAATGATACAGTAATGCAGGTAATCAATTTCATGGATTACATAAAACTTTAAACATTTGTTCACATGCCTATTTATATCCTCATTCATTGTATTTCATCAAGTATGGATTCACGGACAGAATTTGAATTCCATCTCACTAGTTCGCCGTATCAATTTTACGAGATTAATAACAAACATTGGAAGCCGATGAAAATTGATCTCATCAGATTCATGTTAGCTGCTCACTGCATAAGGTGTGACTTAAAGTCATTACCGTTATCGCACTCAATCCAGAGAAAAAGATAATTAACAATGACTATTGCATTCATCCAAATAAATAATTCTCAATGGAAGTATGTTGTTGTTGCTTACGTTAAGCTATCTATTTTACTATGATATATTTATGGGTAAAATGTGAATGTCATACAATCGAAGCATGATCGTCGTCCCATCTTCTATGGAAAATACTTTGTTAAGTAGACTGATGATCCTGATGTGTATATTACGAATAAGGATTTCTGACTCTTCATGCCCTCTTAAAATGAATGAGTTTTGTAATTCAGTGAACGACGGTATATTGTTAATGGTCTCAATCCTAATCCTTCCAAATGTCAATTTGCTAAATTTAGCTTCAAACACAAACTGTACCATTAAGTTTGTACTACCAGTGATTCCGTAATGAGAACAATTTCCAAGGTTACTTTTTGTGGAGTATGAGTTTGCTCTTATCTCTCTCTCTCTCCGTTTTCTCATGTTGTTTCGATATGAAAGAAAGCTTTTTGTAGGACACACTATATAGAGAGGGTTACATGATTTGCGCACTGCACGACATTTATATTGACGACTTCTTTGTTCTAGTGTATTACCATCTATTATTCATTACTGTTCTCGATTATTCTCGATAGATGATCTTTAGGAAAGACTTTACCATATTGTGGAGACTGCTGAAGGTAGTGAGTAGGGTGTGTGATGAATCTTTTAATATCATCACAAACATGGTTGTGGATAGACAATGAAAATCATGCAAACTGTTGACAAGTTATGTCGTAACGAATATTTACCATATATTTCGCCTTGTATATCTTGTG